CTCTGACCTGTCTCACCCCCCTCTGACCTGTCTCACCTCTCTGACCTGTGTCTTCCTGTTGTAGAAAATGATGAAGGACAACAACCTGGTGCGTCACCTGGATGCGTGTGAGACCATGGGCAACGCCACGGCCATCTGCTCAGACAAGACGGGAACTCTGACCATGAACCGGATGACCGTGGTTCAGGCCTATATTGGAGACACACACCACAAAAGCATCCCTGAACCAGACGTCCTGAACCCAGAGACCGTAGACATCTTGATCAACAGCATCTCTGTCAATTCAGCCTACACCACCAAGATCCTGGTAGGACTTTAGAAATGTTCTAGACCTGTGTTTTCCTCAGAACGTTTCAGGAATAACTCTGGAAAACAACACGAGGATGGACGTTTTCTCACTCGTGTCTTCACAGCCTCCGGAGAAAGAAGGTGGCCTGCCCCGCCATGTGGGCAACAAGACCGAGTGCGCTCTGCTGGGCCTGGTTCTGGACCTGAAGAGGGACTACCAGCCAATCAGAGAGGAGATACCTGAGGAGAAACTCTACAAGGTTTACACATTCAACTCCTCCCGCAAGTCTATGAGCACAGTGCTGCAGAACGCTGACGGAGGCTTCCGCATGTACAGCAAGGGAGCGTCAGAGATCATCCTGAGGAAGTAAGAAAACAGATCTGTGTGTTGGAGGACAGGAACTTCCTGTCTGTCAGAATAAACCTTAACCCACCACCCCCCCTCTGCTAGATGCTCCCGGATCCTAGACGCTCAGGGCCAGCCCCGCATCTTCAAACCTAAAGACCGTGATGAGATGGTACGTAAGGTGATCGAACCCATGGCCTGTGACGGGCTGAGGACCATCTGTGTGGCTTTCAGGGACTTCCCAGCTAAAGACGGGGAGCCCAACTGGGACAAAGAGAATGAGATCCTCAGTGATCTCACCTGCATCGCTGTTGTAGGCATCGAGGATCCCGTCAGACCTGAGGTACGCTTCATGTCATTTAGCTGAAACTAGACTTTATGGTTCAAACTTGTTCAAATTCTTGTCCAACCAGACGCTGAGTTGTGTTGGTGTGAGGAGGAAATGTGATGTTAACACAAACAGAGCTGTGTCCTGGCCTGCTCTGTAGCACAGATAATCTATAAATGAAGCTTGCTGCTCCTTTAATGTCAGAGCACAAAGATGAGTGACAGGATGGAAACATCAGGAGGTCATCAGCTGCTCACTGTACCTGTGAGATGGACACATCCTGCTCTGAGGCAGCAGCTGGAGGATCTTTAATCAAATGACCTGTACTGTCTGTAACATGCACCGTCTGTCCTGCAGGAACAGTGTTTCTGCTCTCAAAGGCTCCTCTAAAGTTCTCCTCCTCCTGCAGGTTCCTGAGGCCATTTCTAAATGCCAGCGAGCAGGAATCACCGTGCGTATGGTGACCGGAGACAACATCAACACGGCCCGCTCCATCGCAACCAAGTGTGGCATCCTGCTGCCGGGAGAGGACTTCCTGTGTCTGGAGGGAAAAGAGTTCAACCAGCAGATCAGAAACGACAAAGGAGAGGTGAGTCGAGCTGACCCTGTTATAAAACAACCATCAGATAATCAAACAAATCAACATGAAGCAGAGCTCAGAGCTTCATGTGTTCAGATCAAAACTAACAGATAACAGTCTGCTCCTCCTCACAGCACATGGAGAGAGGTTTCTGATTAACTGTTATCATGGCAACGCTTAGTTCAGTACTGCAAGTCCTGGTTCTGAACTCCTGATGGATCTGAGGTTAAAAAGATTCACATAATATCTGATGGTTCTGATGTAATCATTGACATATTTCATATAAATATATGTTCTGGTTCTGGTAATTTATGTTTTATATCTACTAGGCTTGGGCGATAAACTGAAAAATAACCGATATTGGCATGTACGATAATAACCGACGTCATTTTGCTCATGTTGGTATTTTCAGTATTTAAAAATGAGGAAAAGAGAAACCTGCTCGTTTTCTGTTGTCTGGTTAAAGCTGCCCAGTCTGAACAGGTTTAAACAGACGCTGCTTTCAACAAATCAAACGAACCCCACAGCTTAGTTTATCCAATCAGAGCAGAGCAGGGCGGAGCTTTCTGATGTCGGAGCAGCAGGATAAACACCGGTCAGCCTGCAGCTCCTGTCCTGAGTGAACAAACCCCATCCTCCARACTTCGCTCCTGAGCTACCAGAGACGTTMGTATCTAAAATCTAACHCACTATAAGTTTATGTGTTCAGAGCTTCATTATCTAACAGATATGTCCAACTCTGCTCGCGTGATCAAACTCCTCTCCTCGACAGCGCTGTTACAGGAGCGAGGTGCACACAGGCTGTTCTGAGAGAGACACTGTTTCAGCTCTTTTAATGAAACAATATTAACTCTAACAGATGAACTTTTGTTTGTCCCATGTTATAGAAAAGACAAGTCTCCGCTTAGCATTACCCCCAAAAAAGATAAAACCACTATGTAGTTTATTATAAATATCTACAAATTTCATTCTTCACAATATATCATGCTTATATTTAGAATCATACTGTGACTGAACTTCTCTGTGATTCAATAAATGATCAAATATGAAGAATAAATAGTATTAAATGATTACATAAGCTCTCTAAATTATATAGTCTTTTTGAAAGAAATGGTTATTTTAATAGAGAAATCAGTCTAACAAATAAAAAAATGTATTTATTTTGTGCATTACAAAAGACACATTTGATATACATATTTAAATTTAAAATTATAGTACATACATAATGTGTTTGTATTAAAACATTATGGAGATGGTTAATTATTTGTATGATTATATCTGACTCAAGTCTTGCCAAAAAAGTTTTTTATTAAATATATTAAAAACAGTAAAATGACAAATATAAACTTCAGAAAAACTGTTCAAAATCTAAACTGAACTTTGACTAAGAACATGGACACAGAGTGTGGTGTTATGACTGTAATATACTTGTGTGTGGTGGTGGTAAGAGTTATTGTGTATTTATTGTTATCGAGGTGAACGGGTCAATATATCGTGATATTGATTTTAGGCCAGGGTTAGGGCCCTAATACCTACACTCAGAGTCTTATTGTCCGTGTATCAGCTGGTATTTGTATTTTTAATAAATATTAAGTGTTGAGCTTTTTACAGTTAAATAAAACTTGTTAAATGTTTCAGTAAAAGTCTTTGAACCTGTTATATTTGACTGGTGATTTTTATTTTGCCCCCCTTCTGTACTGAACAGTCACAGTGTGAAAAGCTCTACAGAAATGAGGTCCATTTGCTAATAATAAGTGTCCTACATAGTAAAGAGATAATTGCTCTGTGTTAATTATAAAAGCTGCTCATTCATGTTGAAACGAATGATGGGAAGTTTAATCAGTGTGAAGCAGAGCTGTCCTTCCACCTTTTGTTCCTTCAGCTGGAAGGACCAACGCTCTGCTTTTTATTTCCAGGTGGAACAGGAGCGTCTGGACAAGGTCTGGCCCAAACTGCGAGTTCTGGCCCGTTCGTCACCGACAGACAAACACACTCTGGTCAAAGGTGAGCTGCTTGTGCTTCTGAGTTCACAGCTGTAAAACCACTCATGTGTTGTGCTCTGTGCCCATCAGGCATCATCGACAGCACTGTGGGAGAAACCCGACAGGTGGTGGCAGTGACGGGAGACGGGACCAACGATGGACCCGCTCTGAAGAAGGCTGATGTTGGCTTCGCCATGGTAACTGTTTCTCTTTCCTTCATTCCTCAGTTCATCACAGATTCACACATGTCGCCTCAGTTTCCTCTGCTTCATTACAAACAGCATTTAAAGGGTTAATTCTGTTTTTAATGCAGCCTTGAAGCATCATTCATGAAAGCTGTGGAGTTAAATACCATTAGTCTTCACTCAGATCATCACTAAACTGCTTTATACTCAAAGATTTACTGATTAAAGCTTCAGTTGTGAGACGGGTTGAAACCTGAAGTTTCTCTGCTGTTTGAAGATCTTCTGCTCAGGATGAGTTTCTGACCTGAGAGGGTCTGCAGACCCTCACAGACCCTCACAGCTCTGCAGACCCTCACAGCTCTGCAGACCCTCACAGCTCTGCAGACCCTCACAGCTCTGCAGACCCTCACTCAGGAGGATTTTCAGGTGTTCTGTTCACCACTCACTTCTTTGTCTAAAGATCTCAGCAGCTCACATCATATCACAGGTCCAAGCTCAGCCTGGATTCTTCTGCTTTGTTCTGCTGGACATTAGAGGGTTTAGAGTCGTGTCTCTCCAGGGGCAGAATTATCCACTTCCTGGTGTCCAGCAGAGTTTATTCTGCTCATGTTGATCAGAGGAGACAGGAAGTAGAAACATCTCAGCTCCTCTGCTGCAGCTCCACACTTCTCCTGGTTAAAGCCAGGTCCATCCATCCATCCATCCATCCATCCATCCATCCATCATCCACCCCCTCTTCAGGGTCTTGAGGGTCTGGTGTCCAGTACCAGTGCATGTGTTTGGACCAGAGCTATTCAACTAAATTAACCAGGGGCCACAGTTACTGCAGGTCAACAGCTGAGGGGCCGAACATCCAGTAATTAAAGTCATTCTGTAAATAAACCAAGTATTACAAAGATCTGTTACCTTTGAAATAGTTTATTTTGCTGCATTTAATCGTGATTACAACATACAGAACCCTATAATAAAAGTAGTGAAAATTAAACAATATCAAAAACTAAACAACCACATTCTGCCTCCTATTTAACACAAATAATATTTTAACATCTCTGACTTTTTAAACCAATTTTATTTTCACTTTCATAGTTTTATCTTCGACTGTTTGTAGTTTTAACTTTCTTGAGTGTTTATAGAAATGTTTTTTATCAGCTTGTAGCCAGGATTCTGACGTTTCTGTAGACACCGAACATGTTTGTTTAACTAAATGAACTTGTAGTAATTAAAGTAGAAAACCAGGAGTTTGGGCTTAATGAATGAATCAGGTGGTGAGCCGAACTTTGGTCATTCATGGGCCAGATGTGGCCCGCAGGCCTCCAGTTGAATAGGCCTGGGTTGGACTGTAGGAGGAACCAGAGTACCCTGAGAAAATCCACTGCTGAGATTTGAACCCAGGACCCTGTAGCTGTGAGGCGACAGCTCCAGCCACTTCTCCACTGTGCAGACATGTAGAAGAACAGATGGACCTGATCCTGTTTCTGTTTGCTGACAGGGAATCGCCGGCACAGATGTGGCTAAAGAAGCGTCAGACATCATCCTCACTGATGATAACTTCACCAGCATCGTTAAAGCCGTCATGTGGGGGAGGAACGTGTACGACAGCATCTCTAAGTTCCTGCAGTTCCAGCTGACCGTCAACGTGGTGGCTGTGATCGTAGCCTTCACCGGCGCCTGCATCACACAGGTGAGCTGACCACAGGCTGGACTTGGTTCATTCTAGACTGGGTCCTGACCTGCTCTAGATGGGCCAGGCCCTTCCAGGGTTCCTGCAGGTCATTAAAAAGTCTTAAAAGGCCTTGAATTCATCAGTCCAAAAATAAGGCCTTTATTAGCCTTAAAATGTCTTAAGTCAATCTTCACAAGTCTTAAAAATGTTACCACATTGTAAGTTGGATGACTGTAATATCGAAATTAAGTCAAATTTGGTCAAAATGACCTAATTACATTTTCAGGTTCTTGTCTTTAAAAGCTACATTTTGACACCTGGATCATTTTGATATCATCATTAAATCCATATATATGACTTAATTTGTCTTGTTGGTTACAATAATACATAAATATTTGGTCTGAATCCTAATTTTATCTCATTTTAATGAGGGATTTTTGATGTCCTTATAAAG